GTCTTATACTGCTAAATTAGGGATGGCTAGCGCAGATATCCCTCGTGTAGCTTTGCGCGAAATTCAAAAACAAACAAACCAATTTCTCAGACTTGGACTGCAGCCAAATACCAAAACATATTTTTTTCAATAAAGCCCCTTGAGTGTAAGTTTCATCAGCCACTCAAAAGTAATGTTGCATTACACATACCAGATGGCATGATGCAGTATTTTTATAAACTATCTCTCGTGCTAAAAGCAGTCTTAGCCCTGCTTTTGTCATCTTGCTCGACGTGCCAACATCTTTATGACAGATCCAAAGTTTAGAGCATGGTAACCTTCTAATGTATCCAGACATTCATCCATTCACGATAAAGAGAAGGCATCTTTACAAGTTACCAAGTTAACCCATCTAAAATCAACACAAAACCTCGAAATTTCCTCCTTCTTCCTAACACCACTACTGGAGACGACCAAGCACTTCTAAAGGTTGTATGTCTCTGTCTGCAGCATCCATCTTATTTCAGTACTTGTAACCTCGCTAGTAATTTAAGAAAGCCAATCTAGTAGTTGCTTTATTGGATGTGCATTGCCTCTATCTATGTGATGCTTAGTCTCTGTTGTTTGACCCATTCAGTCATCTGGTCCCATAATCACACCAGCTTATTCACCCAACAAGTCACTGAGTTGGTTTTGCTGCATTGGGTATATATTTTAACACAGTCATCAACCAACTACCTCACACCCATTCCAGCATCTAGTTGGAGAGCTCAACATCTATAGTTACAAAGCAGCCTGGGATTTAGTCCTTTGTAAGACATATCATTGCCCAAACTAATCTTGCTTGCTTTCTGGACATGAAACAGTTTATTTCATGCAAGGTTTCTATGACCATTTTACTTGGCACTGATAAGTTAGACTCTGTCCTGATTAAACCATGGAACATTACTTGTGTACGTTAAAGTATTATCATCCACTTATCTACAGACACTATTGCACCTCACTGTTCCTGGATTCTATCTCGGTAGCATTAGATAATTTTCCCATGAAACATAATTTTAACCATTGCACAGCTAAAACTGATGGATAAAATCCACAATACATTCATCCCAAGGATGCCAATTCCATAACCAAGATCAGAAATGACTATTTTCATTCTGTGAGTGACAACTTTTAGACTGAACAAGAGATTCACTCCTCCTCTAACATCTATTCTATCGCTATTTGCAAGAACAAAGTCGTTATTCACTGGCCATAATGGTAGTCTCACTCAGAAGGCTTGAAATATTCTAGATCCACTAAGGTCTTTGCCACTCCTGTGCCTGCCAAGAGCTCAACCTTTCGTCCTTGTACCCTTATAAGCATATATCAAATTCTTCCTGAGAGAGCTAGACTGACCACTAAACTCTTTGTTGCAGGCTTTGGACTGTATTCTACCAAGCCTGAGTTGGGCTCTGTCAGTTCTTCGAAACATTTGCCATAGTGTTCACTGTTTGTTGATAGTCGTTTGGGACATGCTCGTCTGATGGCTACTTTTCTGTTTGGCAAAGTGCTGATGTTGTGGATTGCCTAATATCTGCTAATCCATTATTTGTAGCCAATAACTGCAATCTTTGCTGCATAGTAAAGTATGGGCAGTTCCTTTGCCAGTATCCCACTAGTCCACAAATAAAATAGAAGCTTCACTCTTCACATCCTGGAGAATATGCTATGGCTGAAGTACATATACCATTGGTGGACTTTGTGATGGTATCTACCTTATGGGCAGACCTGCATAGCCCTACCCACTCACTGGAGGCCAGTGTGGTTGCATTACATTTCTATTAGGCGAAGGCGGCTGGTTGTTAATGCTTCGGTTTGGTCTAGCCTGGCGTAGTAAATATTTCTCATTCATACTATCTGGTAGCGTAATTACTGTTACAGTTGCTGCTGCAGGTTTTTCATGCTAATAGCTGGTTTGAAGTGACCATTTCAAATTGTGTTGCCGAAAAACTGCTTCCATGAGAGTGATGATGCCTTTCACTTCTGGATGCTGTCACATAAGTTCCTTGATAAGTCCTTCAATGAACTTATCGACCAAGTATATTATCAATCTTTGCAAAGGTCATTACTATGTATGCCTTCCCATGTGGGTCATCTGCATAAACAGCCACTCCTCTTCCAAGCCTTGAACTTGGTCCAAACGACTGTCTGATTCTCCACTTAGGGCTGAAACATTTAAGCTCAGAACCAGGCTTTGCACAGCCTGCTCCTAATCCATCCATTCCAGGCAATGGGCTGTCTGAAAAATTTTAGGAACCGGTATAGGCTCTCTCTTACCATCCCCTTGAACATCGTGGGCATGACCTTCTTGGGTGTGATCATGAGAACTTGTCATCCTGCTCCAGGATGAGATATTGTCACTCTCCTGGGAGCTGGATAGATGTTGCTGACAGGGACTCTGAAACCCCAACGGACTCTTGGTCTTTGGTTCAGAGCAATAAGATACTCTAACTGACTCGACGTACAGCCCTGCATAATCCTAGTTATCACGAGCTGTTGTGAATTTAATGAGAAATATTTCCATTCTAAAATGTACCTCACCCCATGGGTCACGATCTTCACCTATGAATCCCCCTTGCCTCACCTGTCAGGAAGACGATTTTGATAAGTAGATAAAATCCACTAGTAACATGGACAAAAGTTCTATTCCTCTCCTGGGTTTGACATATCTTTTATACAATCATCTCTGTTAAACTCTCCTTTTCGGTCATAAGTATTTGTACTTTCAGAAAATGCCATTCTTTCAGTAAAGCTTTCCTTTAAACTCAAGAGATTGGTAATAAACTTTTTAATACAAGTCTGTATCGCTTAATTCTTTTTTCTGGCTAGAATCACAATTGTTATAAAAATCACATATGCTTGTAATAATTCATAATAATACAACCAAGACCTTCATAAAATTATCAGACTAGAAAAGAATGGTAAGTTTCTGTGATAAGGAATCCAAATGACAGCTATGATTGTTATTTTCAAATTGTAACTAATTACCTTATTAATTTTGTAAAAATTCTGTTAAAAAATCACTTTTATGGGTAACTTCTGGCCGTGAAGAAGAATCTCGTCAATTTCCAACTTTAATTTCAACTGTATGGTGCATTAATCTCAATATTTATGCTTTAAACAGATGACTGAAATAAACTAATAGATATGGCAGTAGGTTAAAATATCTGAGTGATAATTTTTTTTTTAAAAACTCAGTGGGATCCGTTTTTTTTTTAGGAATATACAGAATTAAAGCTATAACACGAAACAATTGTTTAACTCTCGAAAGATAAACAGAGATATGTCAAGAACTCACGCACTGAGCGTGAAACTCACGCAATCGACCTTGGTTACATGCTCTCACGTACAAGTATTAAAATCTGACACAGAGCCTAAGGAGCTAAAATTCTCTCATTTAGGAGACGCAATCGGGCATGTTGAAGCCAGAAATGGTCGTTTATTCGTAGATAACTCAGACCATCTAGGTAATTCGTGGCAACCACTGTTTCCATATGCACCAACTTACTAATCTTTTTTTTTTGAGGGGGGTGTATGTCTATATACCCCACACATTCCTTCACGCCTTCAACAGTAATGACACGTGGGGTTATATACACATCTTACAACACTAAAAATAACTTTTGCTTTTATTTATTTATTTTTTTATAAATATTTTTTATATTCTATATAAATAATGTGATAACGGATTCACATAGTAATTCGTCGTCTTTATCTCTAATATTTTTATTCGATGGAGAAAATTGGAACTTCTTGATAATTTTTTCTTCCATTTTCAGTATTTTAGGTTTTTTAATCCTTTAACACATTTTACAAGAAATTATCCCGCTATGGCAAAATAAAATGTGTATCGCAAATAATACAATAGCATTTATAACATTAATAAATCTACACCTACTAAGAATTGATCACTGCTTCAAATACAAATGGCACGTTGTTTTCTTTTTTGTCTAAAGAAATATTAAGGAGAGGCAGGCACCAAGAAATATCGTAATGAAAATTAACGAATAAGAATAGAATTCTAATTATCATATATATATATATATATATATATATATTTAG